GTCCGCGCCGCACCCCGTAGGCGTCCTTCTCTCGGCGAAACGATGCGACAGCACCACGGCGTGAAGGGAAGCGGAAGTGAGGCGATACGTTCGCACGTCCGAGCACGCCGCTCGGAAACGTGCTTCCGCCCTGCGGAGAGGGCGGGGTTTCCCTCAGTAGGCGGGGCAGAGTGCACCGAAGGGGCGGGGAGACCACTTGGACCATAGTAAGTGTGAAGGCGAGCGGGGAGGGGCGGAAGAGTAGCTTGGACTGTACCAAGAGGGGGAGGAGGTCCGAGGTAACAGAGGCCGTGCTGGGGTGTCACTGCTCATCGTCGCAAGAGAGACATGGCGGGGCCTGCAGAGCCAGCCGTGCCCTGAGCCAGGCGGAGGGGTTGTCCTCTCAGGGGTCTCTGTGTCCCCATCCCACCCACTGCACAGCCAGCCCCAAACGAGAGGGCCTGGGCTGGAGCCTGGCTCCTGGGCAATGGCCAAGAGGGCACCTTTGGGGGTGTTCCTGCTGCCCGAGGAGCCAGGCACACCCACATGGGTAGGCAGGGTGTGCTGCCTGTCTGCTGTCCGGGGCCACAGCCATCTCCCCTTGCAAGTGGGACGTGGAGCCATGCCGCTGTGGTTGGTGCAGCTGCCTCAAGTGGTGCTGCTGAGGGTGCCGGGAGGATGAAACAGAGGTCACCACAGCCCGAATCTCTGTATCGCTGCTACTTGCCCCTCCATGGACGTTAAAAAACACCCTGTGCCTCCATTGGATTTGTTTAAGGAGATACTGCAACAGAGCGAGCAGCTCCATGTATCTCCTGGTTATGGAAGATTTTCTCGATACTAAAGCACAGCAATAAACATCTTCATGCCTGAGCTAGTGCTAGTGCTGTGTCAAAACGCAGGTATGTTTGAACCAGCTGGATCACAACCGTATATCCATCTTCCATCTGGCTGGCTGGCACACCCCACGCCCAGAACTAACCCCGCTGTTGGGAGCTGGGCTGCCCAGCCCTGGCCCCCGTCATGCTTT